TTCATGTAGTCGTGTTCGCGTAGTGTCTTCTGAGTCAGCTTTTGATTTGTGCTTCTTGATCGCGAAGTAGGTCTCACGATCACGAAGGGGACCCTTGGGCAGATATATTAATACTCTATTTCAAGGGTTTGAGTTATTTTATCACATTTTGAGATTGGGAGCTCGGATTTGGGTGATATTTAGGGGATTTTCACAATTTGGATTGGGGTAACCATTCTTGACTCAGATTGGATTATTATTCATGATTCCATCCTTGATTTATGCATTTGATTAATGAATCTAAGTGAAGAAAATGAGGGGTTTTGGAAAAACTTTTCTAAAATGAAAAATGGGGATTTGAACCTCGATTTGGAGTTGGATTTGGATAAAACTTGTATGATTGGACTCTTATTCGAATGGGTATTTGGAATTTGTGACTTTTGTCGGGTTCTGAGAGGCCAGCTCGGGTTGACTTTTTGTTTACCTTTTTTATTCTTGTTGAAGATCGGAGCTTTATTTATTGGAATCTATTTCTATAGCCGTGTGTGATATTATTGAGTTGTTTTTTGCTAGATTCGACCTGTTCGGTGGTGGATTTGGGAGGCAAGGGATTTTTAGAGTATTGATTTGCTTATTTGAGGTAAGTATCTTACATAACCTTGTGGGGGGAATACCCCTTAGGATTTGGTCTTAATTGTTTATTTGTGTCATGTGGAAAGTAACGTGCATACGAGGTGACAAGTGTGTACCAGGGCGCTATGTATGGTTTATGACCGGATTAGACCATAGGCTATTAATATTCCTTAATTTGATAATGTACTTTATATGATCATGATTGCTACATTTGACTTAGCCATAGTCATGCTTTAATTGTTGAACACCCCTCCACTCTTTTATGTTATTGTCATGTCCTTGTGCACTTTGTAGATAAGTTGTGACCTTATATCTTTATTGAAACTTGGTATTATTGTTTTGTGATATTTTGGCACATGTGGACATGTTAAGAGGATTAATTAAGGTGTTGGAACTAGTTTTCTGTCGTGCGATTGTGATTGGTGTTATTGTTATTGTGATGGGGAAAATAATTATAAAGCATGAGCGGCAAGGAGGGATTTTGTTATATTTTCTGGCTGAAGCGACAAGGCGGGATGTTGTTATATTATCAGGCGGGAGTGACAAGGCGAGATATTGTTATTTGTCAGGCGGGAGCGACAAGGCAGGATATTGTTAAATTCAGGACAAATTGATACAGGTGGATAGTGTTATTGTGACTGAATTGTGGGCACGAGGTGCCATACGTCTGTGTTTCTATTTGATGACTTGTTGTCAAAGCTGAGCATTTACTTGTTTGAGTTGTTATCACACGTTCGGGAGAGGTTGTTGATATTGCTTTCATTATATATTCTGTTATCAGTTTCTCTTAATTTATTGCACAAGTTATTTTGTCTAGTGAGTATTGCATGACTTGAACCTCATCACTACTCCATCGAGATTAGTCTTGATATACTCATGTCACGCCCCGACCTTGGGGAACGCGACCGGTGCTTGACCGAGACATCCTAGTTAAGCAAGCCTTCTTGCTGTGTTCTATGCAACCTTACCCATGAACAATTAAAGAATCAGTAACAAGAAATAGACATGAGAAGAGTGAAGTGTACCACATCCTTTTTTCCATTACTTATAGGAGCTTCATTTACAATTTCTAAAATATTACAAGTTCATAGTTACGAGGGAAAAACATGTTTGATAACTACAACATTTCTAGTTCATTATCCCAAATCGAACACCACCCACAATATGTCTATGGAGCCTCTAAGTGTAATAGAAGAGTAGAATGAAAGTGCCGGTGACAAGGCCCCGACTATACCTCAAAATACAATGTACAATATCAAGTGACATAAGGCCCCGAAATAGAGTATAGCTCACCAAAATCTATTGAGTAGCGGGTAACTGCTAACGAAGATCAAACCTGCCTACTGACGATCCATCTGCATATGCACTAGTTACAACAACCATCTATCAATATTTTCCCAATAAGGGGAAGCATAATAAGATAGGGTCAATTCGAACGTGACTCAAGTACATAAGTATTTGGGAAAATCAATCATCGGAAACAATTTGAAACAGTAGGAATAGGAGTTTGAACAAACCACATCTGGAACTTATGAGGAACTCATGGATTCCGATTCTAAAGAAGGGAGTGTATCCAACATACCTTAAATTTGACCTTTAATAATACTACGATTGTCCACCACGCTAAGCAACTTCAATATATAATAATACAACATAATTATACCAATATTAGTAAGATTTCTATACTTTATGTCATTTAGACTTTTTATCAAACCTCTGATGTGCATATTTTTCTATAACCTCATTCAATGGAATTTCTTTCACCTAACAACCACCTCCCACACCAATGATTCCCTTACCATCATCTTTAGGCCATCCACAACTTCCATTAGCACATACATGCCAAACAATTCACTCCCAACCAATCAATCTCATCAATTAATCTATTTTACAACCTCTATAACACCATTATAACCTAAGTTAGGCACTTATGGCTTACAATCACCATCCCATAAGTCTGAACACATATTTTATACATAAATAATCATCATAAATTAGTTAGAGATGGTAGACATACCTCTTATAGTGAAACTCTTAAAAATCCCAACTTGTAGTATTCTTGACCAATTTGGGAATTTGAATGGAAATCTATGGATTTTCAAGATTAATCCTAGTTAATATAAGTATTTAGGAGTAAGATTATGATCAGAATCAACAAATGACAATGGTGGAAGAAGCAAGGGAAGTGCAGAAGGTATCTGAGAATTCTCCTAATTCGACAAGGAAACAAGTAACTAGGTCTCCGACCAAGATGCTTAACCCTCGCGACATACTTCCATCCCGCATAGTGCAGTGTCACCCCACAACTGCACGTCTAGGCCAACGGACCCTTGCTCGCATAGTTGAACCCAAGTTATGCTCACAAGTCGACACATGAGGCCCCTAAGATAGGTTCTTTAAGTATCCAATCGGCACGGAGGTCTTCATCCACCATTTCGGCCCGCAGGGCATACTCGTCCCATACATCAAGCCTACAACACCCGTTGTGTGCCCAACAGGATGCTAATGAGAGTGTTGATAATGTTAGTTTGAAGGAAGATGGTCAGTTGGATGTAGGTAAAAGGGTACTAGGTGTGGCTCCATTTGTTAATCCGGGAACTACATGGAAACAAGTCAAAGATAATAGACCTAAGACAATCACTAATGGCAAAGAAAAGGAGACTTTTGGTAAGGAGCTTGCTATAATCGAGGCTACAACTGAAGCAACAAAGGCAACAACAACAGTAATGCAGTTGTGACAGTTGTAAATAAATTTGCAATTCTTAAAGAGGGAGTGGAAGATTATGATCAGAATCAACAAATGACAATGGTGGAAGAAGCAAGGGAAGTGCAAAACGTGTCTGAGAATTCTTCTTTATTCGACAAGGAAACAAGTAACTAGGTATTTGACCAAGATGCTTAACCCTAAGGCTCCTAAATTTAATGCTAGTGGACAAGGGAGTGAGTCAGCATGGCAGAAGGAGTCCACATCACAATGGATAACTAAAGTTAATCAGGTAGAGGAAACTGCTACAATTGGGAAACAAAATTAGCAGGGCAACATGAATCATCTCATTAGTGAAAGTGGGAATAAGGATGCAGCAACAAAGGAGAGAACAATTGATTGGGTTCAAAGAAGGTTTACTACTCAAAAGGAAGCTCTTAGTGTTCCTCTACACCACTCCTGCCAGGAGATACCTTCTCAGACTTTTGTGGAATCACCTAAGTACAATGCAGGTACTACAAGAGATAGACAACTATGGAGTGATGAAGAGTATAATTCTGAACCAAATACAAGCATAACACCAGAAGTTAAAAGGGGCAACACACAGCAAACTGGAGCAGACAAGGTAAAAAACATGTCTGGAGGAAACTACAGTTTCACTGGAGAGATTTTATCAGATATTCTAGCGGGTGTTTTAGCTAGTGAACAGGTTGGTAGTGATGATGCAGAGGTGCTACAAGATACAGTTAGATCAAACAATCAAATAATTGATGGCAAACTACTTGATACAAATGGAACAGTACATAGAGAAACCATAGCAACAGTGTCACCAACACGGTTACCCACATATGATTTGCAAGAAATAATGTTGCACCAATCTTTGAGAGCTAAAATAATGTTGCACCAATCATAAAAGAGACCATTGGAGATGAAGCTCAACATGCTTTGGTACCTCATTAACCAGGAACAATTGAACCAGTTCCCATGTGTTGTGATTATGGGACTGGGCAGCCACTAAACATAAAGCTCAACATACCCTTGAAATCTCCAATGCAAGTGTTACATGACCTGGTAACACACAATGTAACACCTGTGGAGAATCAACATGCAATAGGTGATAATGAGAAAAGTGAAGAAGCTGATGATGATGAATTGACAGCAGGCAACTTTAAGGCAGTAGCTAGGATGGCAGATTTATCTCCTAGGGCTGGCGATAATAGTGGTAAAAAGGGAAGGAAACAAGGCCAAAACAAGGAGGTTCATCAACCTAAAAGAATCCTGCCTAGAAAGGCAGCCTCACAATCTAATTGAAGATCAAGACATTAATTTGGAACATAAGGTTTGTCAATACACAACATGCCTTTCAGAGAGTGATAAATATGCAAAGAGAATATGGTTTCTTCATTGTTGCATTGATGGAACCTTTTCAGAATTGTAAACATATTCAAAGATACAGACGAAGATTAGGTATGAATGGTGCTATGTCAAATATTAATGGTAAAATATGATTGTTCTTTGATGTTGTGATTGAATAGGAGGTACTAATAGACACTAAACAACAGGTTACTATTAGAGTGTATCACCAGGGCATTAGCAAACATATAATGATGACTTTTGTGTACGCTAAATGCTCATCTTTAGAGAGGATACAATTGTGATATAACCTGTATTACTTGGCAAGTATATGGAGCTTCCTTGGGTAGTTGGAGGAGACTTTAACGTCATCATGGATGAGGATGAGAAGATAGGTGGGCTACCAGTATATCCCCCTGAATATGAAAAATTTGCTGCTTGCGTAAATTCTTGTGGACTGTTTGAGGTTGGGTTTAAAGGCAGCCCCTTCACATGGTGGAATAGCATAGCAAACTCAGAATGCATTTTCAAAAGGCTGGATAGAGTGTTTGTCAATCTCCCTTTTCAGAATCTTTTCTCAACTACTGAAATTGAGCATCTTATTAGGACAGGATCAGATCATGCCCCATTATTGATGAGTTGTGGGGAAGAGACTATGTAGTTTGTTAAACCTTTTAAGTTTCTAAACTTCTCGACATAGCATGACACATTCCAAGATGTGGTAAGACAGAACTGGATTACAGACTTTATTTGTGATCCTTTTATGATGTTCAAACAAAAACTCAAAAGAATCAAAAATGCCCTATCTCATTGGAGTAAGTTCACATATGGTGACATCTTCAAACAACTTGCTATTAGAGAGGATATTGTTAGGGTGAATGAGATATTATTTGAAGACGAACCAACAATTGAGAATAGGGTTATTCTCCAAAAAACACAAGCTGAATTGAAACAATATCTTAGCATTAAGGAGAAATTCTGGAAGCAAAAAGCAGGCATGAGTTGGTTTGCTGAAGGTGATAGGAACACAAAGTTTTTTCACAATCATGTGAATGGCAAGAGACAAAAGCTGCAGCTCAGAAGAATTCAAAATGGAGATGGTGTTTGGATTGAATCTCAAGACCTTATGTCTAATGTTGCAGTAGACCTTTTCCAGAGATAGTTCACACAAGAAGAGGATCCTACAAACTTTGATCTACTTAATAATGTACCTACTATGGTAATAATGGATCAAAATTTGGAGCTTTGCAGATTTCCTACAATTGAAGAGGTGAAGGATGCAGTATTTGCTTTAGGTGGAGATAATTCCAGTGGACCTGATGGTTTTACTGGACTGTTTTACCAACATTGTTGGGACATTGTAGGGGAGGACATCTTTGTCACGCCCCAACCTCGAAAAGCGCGATCGGCGCTCAACCGAGTGAACCCGATCGAGCAAGCATGTTAGATACTTTCTACCCAACTCACCCATGATCAAGAGAAGACATGATTTCATTAATTAGATAGTAGGAAGATCATATATACAATACACACATTCTTATGATTCGAGTGGAATAAGAGATCAAAACACAACATAATCTGTTTGACCTTTCTAGCACCCATGTACAACCCACATAGTGTCTACGGAGCCTCTAAAAAGATACAAAAGAGTGTTATGATAGTGCCGGCAACAAGGCCCCAGATATACCTCGAGACGTGATAATAATATGAATAAAAGATACAATACGTGACCCCAGGATGAAGTGGGGCTCACCAAGTCTGCTGGGAAGAGGATGTACCACTATCGCTGATCAACACTGCCTGCTATGGAACCACCTGCATCCATTTAAAGATGCAGCACCCCTAGCAAAAGGGACGTTAGTACTGTCGAATAGTACTAGTATGTAAAACTAAATACCATATAAATAGAATGAATAATAATACACGGGGGAACAGTTAAGAATTCAATAAGAACTTCAAATAATACTAAAACATCAAGTTAGGGATTACATAAGTTTTCAAGTAAATTTTCATGTTATTAGGTTGGGTGATCTTTAGAGCCGATATACCATAATTCACAATACCACCATATTCTTACACGGATTCCGATCATGACCTGATCGGATAGGTCCTCTCATTTGAGACATCAACTATAACCACAATTTCAATTATCATTTCCAGCACAGTGACCACCATGTGTGCGGCATGGCGTCCGATCACGGCCCGATCGGCTAGGCCGTCTCACCCGAGACATTACCTTTTCAATCAATCATCTCACTTCATACTTCTTTCACATCTTTTCAATTCATTGGCCTGAGTGGCCTCAATTAGAAGGTCATTCTTGGCAATTGGCCATATTTCATAATTCCAGTTTTCCCTTTCCACATTCAAACATCATTATCACCATCAACAACAATAAGGCCTATCATTTAAGGCATTAGTACACATATGAGCAATTTGGGAATCCTAAGCACATAGAGGCTTTTCATACAATTTGGCATAACAACCTTTATTCGATCTTGACATGAAGTCTTAACATTTTTAACACGTATTCCACATTTTGAACACATCCTCAAATGGCAAGACGACATAATGAAGCATTTAGAATAAATAGTGAACATACATCCTTCAACACAAACACATTAGGAATAGCCAATTCGATAATGATCAATTTGGGACTTACACCAATTACATGAACACCGTGGGATTCGATTCTAAGAAGAAGGGGGTTTTAGCCAACATACCTCAATTGAGCTTCCTTTAAACTCTAAAACGTTCTGGAATTTTTAGAAACTTCGATCTATTTTAGAAATATAACAAGTTGGACCAAAATTAGGAAGATGGTCATGATTCTAGCTTATTTGAGCACATTATCAAACACTAGGTGTCATTAATGTTTTTAAGGCCATTTTGTGAAAGATTCCATAATTCCCCAACCCATTCTATACCATTTTTATCTCACAACTTTCTCACATTCTTTGATAACACATGCATGCAAGATAACAACCCCCCTCCCCCTCTCCCCCCCCACACACACCCAAGAATTGTCTTTTTAATTATCTCTTTTTTTGTAAATTTTCAAAATTGAGAGCTAGGACATAGATTCTTACCTTTAAGATGAGGACTTTCTTTGTTAATCCTCAATGATTGAGCAAGAATTGTGGGATATTAGGTTGAAGGTTACTTCCCCACTCTAAGAACTCTTTCTCACTCTAAATATATCAGAAATATGCTCAAAAATGGACTATGGCATATGTTTTAACGAAATAGGGTCGAGTTTAAAAACCCCAAAAATAAAGCTCCGGAATACGGTATGCGGTCGTATATGCAACCGCATAATGCTTATGCGGTCCACAGAATCGGCCGCATAATTGCCCTCCAGAACTGGGCAAATCTGACTCGGTCTGCAGTCATTATGCAGCCCGCAGACCTGTCCTGCGGTTGTATAATGCGCCGCAGAACCTCCCTCCGAAAAATCTCAAAGATGGATATGTGATCAGAGTGCGGCCCGTGAAATGGTTTTGCGGTCGCATAATGGGCCGCGAAAATGACATAAAAATGGCCCAAAAGACTGTCTCACTCTACGACCATTATGCGGTCCGCAGAGTGATTCTGTGGCCGTATAATGGGCCGCAAAAGTGCATTTCTTCTGGCCAAATCTTTTTCCTTTACTTTCCAGTGCATTGTTCAACCCAAAAAGTCCGAGTCGCGGCGAGCTTATACAATCCTCAAACACGTAAGCCCAGTTCGGCATCACAAAATATTATTTTTCCTTTGCAAAATCTTACGGGGCCTTACATTCTCCCCCACTTAGGATCATTCGTCCTAGAATGAGGGTCAAAATCTGTTATTAGCATCAAATGTGCTCCAACTGTTAATTTACACTCACTAGTAGTTTTAAAATTTGGCTAACTCCCTAAATTTCCAAACATTTCGCTAGAGTTTCTCCTGTAACTAGGCCTATCCACCTATCAGAGATCCCCAAAAACACATCCTAACAATATATACATAGTCCAACGACGTAACATACCACAAAACAACACCAACTGTGGCCTCACAAGCAATATATTACCAGAAAGTAACACCCTTAACGTCAATTTGTACAAATGATACATAATTCATAGAAGGTAACCCTTAGAATTTTCATAGAACACAACTTTATAAATACATGGCTATTCAAGCAAATAAGGATACTTTTTCTTCATTTCTTCCTCGGCCTGCCAAGTAGCCTCTTCAACCTATTGGTTTTGCCATAGCACTTTCACGGAGGCAATTTCTTTATTTCTCAACTATCGGACTTGCCGATCAATAATAGAAACTGGAATCTCTTCATACGTCAATTCCTCATTAACCTCAATAGTCTCAACCAGAACAATGAGTATCGGATATCCAACTACTTTCTTCAACATAGACACATGAAACACCGTGTGCACTAATGACATCTCAGGTGGTAGCTCAAGCTTGTACGCCACCTCACTGATCCTCTGAATGAATCTGTACGGTCCGACATACTTCGAACTCAATTTACCTTTCTTACCAAATCGCATTACACCTTTCATGGGGGAAATTTTCAAAAATACCCAATCCTCTTCTTTGAACTCCAAATCCCTACGGCGAACATCTGAATTGGACTTCTGATGACTCTGAGCAGTCTTCAACTGCTCCTTAATGATTTTAACCTTTTCCATAGCCTGATGCACGAGGTTTGATCCTATCAACTCAACTTCCCTAATCTCGAACCACCCAATGGGAGATCTATATCTCCTACCATATAATGCCTCAAATGGTGACATCTAAATACTAGTATGAAAGTTGTTGTTATAAGCAAACTCTATGAGTGGGAAGTGATCATCCCATCTACCCTTGAAGTCAAGAACACAAGCACGCAACATATCCTCAAGTGTCTGAATAGTCAGCTCTGCCTGCCCGTCGGTCTGTGGATGCAAGGCTGTACTAAGATTGACCTGAGTACCCAAACCTTGCTAAAATTTCTTCCAAATATTTGTCGTGAACTGAGCCCCTCGATCGGAAATGATAGAAACTGGAGGGGTACCCAAATCTTCCTTCGAAAAATTTCAAAGTTGGATATGCGATCAGAGTGCGGCCTGCGAAATGGTTTTGCGGTCGCATAATGAGCCGCGAAAATGACATAAAAAATGGCCCAAAAGGCTGTCTCACTCTACGACCATTATGTGGTCCGCAGAGTGATTCTGTCGCCGCATAGTGGGCCGCAGAAGTGCATTTCTTCTGCCCAAATCTTTTTCCTTTACTTTCCAGTACATTGTTCAACCCAAAAAGTCCGAGCCGCGGTGAGCTTAAACAATCCTCAAATCCATAAGCCCAGTTCGGCATCACGAAATATTATTTTTCCTTTGCGAAATCTTACGAGGCCTTACAATCTTCAACATGGTACAATAGTTTTACTTGGGAGCATCATTGCCAAAATCAATCACACATACTAACCTTGTGCTACTGCCAAATAAACAATAGGTACAAATATTTTCAGACTTAAGACCTATAAGTCTAAGCAACTTTATCAACAAGGTGATTTCTAGGGTAAGGCATGATAGGTTGGAAAAAATACTGCCCTCTTTAATATCCTCTAACCAGTCTGGTTTTGTGAAGGGGAGAAGTATTTTTGAAAATATTTTGCTAGCACAGGAAATAGTTATTGATATTAGGTTGAGAGGTAAACTTGCTAATGTGGTGACTAAGATCTACATGACAAAGGCCTATGATATGGTGTCATGGAAGTATCTTCTTCATGTCCTCAGGAAAATGGGGTTTGTAGAACACTACATAAACATGGTCTGAAATTTGCTTGCAAACAATTGGTATTCAGTCCTAGTGAATGGTCAGGCTACTGGATTTTTTAAGTCAACAAGAGGGGTTAAGCAGGGAGATCCTTTATCTCCAGCTCTTTTCATCTTATCTGCTGAGGTGCTAACAAGGTCAATGAAGAAACTGTTTGAAGACAACAAATTCAGAGGTTATGACATGCCAAAATGGACTGATCCACTGAACTATTTGGCATATGCTGATGATACAATCATCTTTGCATCATCTGACACATACTCTTTGAGTAAAATTGTTCAAGTACTTAAACAGTATGAACAAACATCTGGACAGCTAATCAACAAGTCAAAGAAATCATATTACATGCATGCTACTGTGGTTGGACAA